ATAGTAAATGTGACGGCTGATGCTGAAGTTTGGCTGATGTTGAAGCTAAAAAATCTGATTGGTTAGGGTTAGGGTGCTCTGCAAAATTTAGCCAATCAGATTTTTTAGCTTCAACATCAGCCAAACTTCAGCATCAGCCGTAACAATTAATAATGATAATATTGAAAATATATAAGTATCACTAGGATACGGAACAAACTAAGCGGAGCCTCAGGATTGTAGTCTATTTGCATAAATTGTTGCTAATGCGTGTTCGGATCGGTGATCGGCGAGATACGTAGTAGACATTTAGATCATGAGAAAGTTTTTCTAGCCCAGCTAATTTTATTATGAAAGTATATAAAGAGTCACTAGCATAATTCTATATTCAGATTTCCAGATTTAAATGTTAATTCTTTTTATTGCTTATATTTTTTATATGTGTAACGATCTCAATTGTGATGAACAACGGTGTAGAAGGGCAATTGTGTTTTTGATTTGCTTATAAGTTTGCAATTTAATTAACCAAAGTTGTATCCTTAAAGTAATATTTACGGCGAAATGCTTTCAGACAATACAATTATGATATCACATTTTTGAAACAATAAAGTGCGAAAGTGTGAACGAACAGGCCCGTTAAGAAACCTAAATGATCTCATTCGATCTAATATTGAATAATCACATTGGCAAGCATCATCTATTCTTATGTTTACATAAATATCTTCGATCAAAGTTTTTTTCATGTATTAATGCTGATAAAATTGAATAAAACAATATGCACCAAAACGAATAAAATTTAAACTTTATTGTATCTACAGTAAAATATCTGGGTAAAGTTGCCTTTGATTCGAGGTTGACAACAAAGTCTGAAATTTCTGAATTGTCTAGTTTAGTCTTAGGGCACTGTCAAGTATTAGGTAATTACCTAATGCATGAAAGTGCCGTTTTATTAAATTCATTCACAACATAATTTCACTTCGTATGTTGGTTTTATAATTTTTTAGATTCTAATCTGTCACACTTAAAATAGAATTAAAATTAAATGAATATTGTGTTTTGTACTATATCAATATTATATATTTATTTGAATAAAACTATATTGTAAACAATACGGTCTGTTTATATCCGAAATGATCGATTAAATTAACATATTTGTTTAATTTGAAAAGATTTTGGATTGATATAAAATTTCATTCGTTAAATATTAGTTCATAATCTTTTTACCGGACTTTATATACTGGTTCTACTATTTCTATCTAAAATTCTTTCCAATACCAAGCCTACGAATAAAAGACATCCGTGTTGAGAATAAAATCTTTCTATAAGCAACCAATAACTTAAAATCACAAACTTACTTTGGTAATCCTCGATTCAATCCTTCTAGTAACATACATGCTTTACAAAGTTCATTGCTAGACATGTATCCACAACGCTTACATACTCCTTGTATAGGTAATTTTACCCCCTCTTTTACTTCAAAAGCCTCACCGGAATGTATGATATCTTTGATAGCAGTAAAAACAAACGTTAAAAAAAAGCCTCATAAATTCGTTTTTAGGCATTATATATAATATAGCCATTACATGGCCTCGATACGCATTTGGTGAATATACACACTCTGTTGAAAAATAATCGAGCTTCTTAAAGTAAGCATACCTATAAATTATAAATATTTAGTACTTTCAAGCGTATATTACGAAGCATATTACATAAATAAACGAAAAACATAGTAATCAAAGTGCATACATAACGATTTCTTTTTCATATGTATATTTAAACGGTTTAGATCTTCGTATACTTTCATCTCCAGTTGTACATATCTCA